GAATCTGAATTAACACAATTAAATTATCTATCAACTTTCTCCAATATATTAAGAATCTGAATTAACAATTAAATTATCTATCAACTTTCTCCAATATATATTAATAATCTAAATTAACAATTAAATTATCTATTGACTTTCTCCAATATATTAAGAATCTGAATTAACAATTAAATTATCTATCAACTTTCTCCAATATAAGAATCTTAATTAACAATTAAATTATCTATTAACTTTCTCCAATAAGAATCTGAATTAACAATTAAATTATCTATTAACTTTCTCCAATATAAGAATCTGAATTAACAATTAAATTATCTATTAACTTTCTCCAATATAAGAATATAACAATTAAATTATCTATTAACTTTCTCCAATATAAGAATCTGAATTAACAATTAAATTATCTATTGACTTTCTCCAAATATAAGAATCTGAATTAACAATTAAATTATCTATCAACTTTCTCCAATAAGAATCGGAATTAACAATTAAATTATCTATCAACTTTCTCCAATAAGAATCTGAATTAACAATTAAATTATCTATTAACTTTCTCCAATAAGAATCTGAATTAACAATTAAATTATCTATTGACTTTCTCCGATAAGAATCTGAATTAACACAATTAAATTAAGAACTTTTCTCCAATAAGAATCTGAATTAACAATTAAATTATCTATTAACTTTCTCCAATATATAAGAATCTGAATTAACAATTAAATTATCTATTAACTTTCTCCAATATAAGAATCTGAATTAACAATTAAATTATCTATTAACTTTCTCCAATATAAGAATCTGAATTAACAATTAAATTATCTATTAACTTTCTCCAATATATAAGAATCTGAATTAACAATTAAATTATCTATTAACTTTCTCCAATATAAGAATCTGAATTAACAATTAAATTATCTATTAACTTTCTCCAATATAAGAATCTGAATTAACAATTAAATTATGTATTGACTTTCTCCAATATAAGAATCTGAATTAACAATTAAATTATCTATCAACTTTCTCCAATAAGAGTGGCCGCGGTAGCCGAGTGGTATTGGTATCGGAACGTGGCTTGCTTTGTCCCGGGTTCGAGCCCAGTACCACTAAAGACCCGCCGTGTAGGGCAGCGATGCACGTTAAATCTGTCGAGAGCTGAAACGTCCTCCCGTTGGTGTGGTGTGGTAGTTAGGAGAGGGGGGTGCCAGCTCAGGTGTCGTCCACGTCACTTGACCATGGTTCAAAATTACGTGGTCCGTCGCCAAAAGCCCTCGTGTAGCTGAACAGTGCGACGTTATTATTCAATCAATTCTCCAATAAGAATCTGAATTAACAATTAAATTATCTATTAACTTTCTCCAATAAGAATCTGAATTAACAATTAAATTATCTATTAACTTTCTCCAATAAGAATCTGAATTAACAATTAAATTATCTATTGACTTTCTCCGATAAGAATCTGAATTAACACAATTAAATTATCTATTAACTTTCTCCAATAAGAATCTGAATTCAATTAAATTATCTATCAATCCAATATAAGAATCTGAATTAACAATTAAATTATCTATTAACTTTCTCCAATATAAGAATCTGAATTAACAAATAAATTATCTATTAACTTTCTCCAATATATAAGAATCTGAATTAACAATTAAATTATTAACTTTCTCCAATATAAGAAGAATTAACAATTAAACTATGTATTAACTTTCTCCAATATAACTGAATTAAAATTAAATTATCTATTGACTTTCTCCAATATAAGAATCTGAATTAACAATTAAATTATCTATCAACTTTCTCCAATAAGAATCTGAATTAACAATTAAATTATCTATTAACTTTCTCCAATAAGAATCTGAATTAACAATTAAATTATCTATTAACTTTCTCCAATAAGAATCTGAATTAACAATTAAATTATCTATTGACTTTCTCCGATAAGAATCTGAATTAACACAATTAAATTATTTATTAACTTTCTCCAATAAGAATCTGAATTAACAATTAAATTATCTATTAACTTTCTCCAATATAAGAATCTGAATTAACAATTAAATTATCTATTAACTTTCTCCAATATAAGAATCTGAATTAACAATTAAATTATCTATTAACTTTCTCCAATTAAGAATCTGAATTAACAATTAAATTATCTGTTGACTTTTCCAATAAGAATCTAACAATGAAATTATCTATTGACTTTCTCCGAATATATAAGAAGAATTAACAATTAAATTATTATTCTCCGATATAAGAATCTGAATTAACAATTAAATTATCTATCAACTTTCTCCAATATATAAGAATCTGAATTAACAATGAAATTATCTATCAACTTTCTCCAATATATAAGAATCTGAATTAACAATTAAATTATCTATGAACTTTCTCCAATAAGAATCTGAATTAACAATTAAATTAAGTATTAACTTTCTCCAATAAGAATCTGAATTAACAATTAAATTATCTATTGACTTTCTCCAATAAGAATCTGAATTAACAATTAAATTATCTATTAACTTTCTCCAATAAGAATCTAGATAAACAACTAAATTAAATCAATGGCGAACAAGTTACTTTATGCAAAAAGATATACCAAAAATACTAAAAATTTTGCCGACCCCATCTGAAACTCGCGCATCCGTACTTGGCGTCGCGACCCCTAGTTTAAAAAACATTGTGCTAAATCGACTATTGCAGGGAAGACCATCCCAAATGACCTTGCAGGCCACTTCGGAAAAATATTATAATCCCGTGGGGCATATAAAAAATATATGCGTATATTGATAAAGGGTGTTTTTTTTAGAGGTATAGAACTTTAAATTGCAATAAAACAACGATGTATTATTCGATTGACATGAATTTTTTTTTATTCGAAAGATAATCTTGTGGCATTACATTTTAAATATGATTTCTGGCATAGGACTGTCATGGCTCGCTCGGATGTAGTCCAATCTGGACGTCCAATTTTAGATGACTTTTTACAACATTTGTGGCCGTATATCGGCAATAACACAGCGAATGTTGTCTTCCAAATGGTCAAGCGTTTGTGGCTTATCCGCATAGACCAATAACTTTACATAGCCCCACAGAAAATAGCCTAGCGGTGTTAAATCACAAGATCTTGGAGGCAAATTCACAGGTCCAAAACGTGAAATTAGGTGGTCACCAAACATGTCTTTCAATAAATCGATTGTGGCACGAGCTGTGTAACATGTTGCACCTTCTTGTTGGAACCACAGCTCCTGGACATCATGAATGTTCAATTCAGGAATGAAAAAGTTAGTAATCATGGCTCTATACCGATCACCATTGACTGTAACGTTGTGGCCTTCATCGTTTTTGAAGAAGTACGGACCAATGATTCCACCAGCCCATAAAGCGCACCAAACAGTCAGTTTTTCTGGATGTAACGGTGTTTCGACATACACTTGTGGATTAGGTTCACTCCAAATGCGGCAATTTTGTTTGTTGACGTAGCCATTCAACCAGAAGTGCGCTTCATCGCTAAACCAAAATCGCTTATGAAAATCGGGAACAACGGCAATCTCGTTTTGGGCCCATTCGACGACAATTTGAAGGCGTTGTTCAGGCGTGAGTCTATTCATGATGAATTGCCAAACCAAACTGAGAATAAATCACTTGACAGCTGTTAAATCGGTCGCCATCTTGGAAAGTAATGCCAACTTAAACTTCTATACCTGGAAAAAAAACACTCTTTATTAGATTTGAAACCATTGCAAACATTTATTAGAGTGAAAATTTAAAACGAATGAGTTAATATTGTTTTCATTATTTTCATGAATACAAACCTAGATAGTTTAATAATAATAATGCATCGATCAAATATGCCTAGCTCTATGAACAAACACAGCGATAAAGTTCAGGAATCAAGCGTGATGCTGAGGTGGTCGCTGCAATAAAATACTGTTCACTTCTAAGTATGTATGAAAACGGAAGCAAATAAATAAAATAGAAACAGTTATGGGATATATTTGTTACAAAACACTACACTGAAAATAAATTTTTTTTTACAAAATAATCGCATTTTGTAAAGTTGTAATGAATCTCGCAGATAGCAAAATCTTTGAAGGCGAGTCACGGGTTGGCCACCCCTGAACGTGCATAGTTACTGTTGCTGGAGTGCCGAAGCCACCCCCTTTATACACTTAGATCATTTCGGTTAAAAATAATTATGAATACCCCTTTTAATTACCTTTTAATTATCAATAAAAGAGAAAAATGCAATTGTTAGTTTAAAAAGATGCGAAGTAATTAGCAGTTAAAAGAACTATTTACTTTCTTTTCCGATACGTTTGCAAGAATATTATAAACGACATTAAGAAATCACAAAACTGCTTGGGAGGGAAAAGAGAGAGTACAAGAGCATGAATGGGTCCTGAAAGTGTTTTCAAAAAGGTCACGGGTTCACAAGTTCAGAGCTTAATCCTATCGTTTTTTACATCGATTATAATTGTAATACACACTACTATTTTAATTTCGGGTGTACTAGTGAAACTGCACCTTTTTTATACTAAATCGACCACTAACGGGATTATAAGATATATTAAAATTCTGAAAAAAAATTTATTTAAAAAACAAGAGGATGTAAATTCTGATTTGTTTTAACGTACTTCACATACGAGAAACGAAAAACCATACAAAAAACCATAATATCGAAAAATGGAAAATGTGCGTTTAATATAAAACGAACAAGTAATATATATATATATATATAAAATTCCTACTTAGGTCAATAAAGAAAATTTTTATTTTAGTTACTTTTTATTAAATAGTTACAATTAATATAAATATGTATATAACAGAATCCCAGTTTTAAGTGACAAAATAGAAAGCGATTTTCCATTTTCCTTTCTATATAGGGTGGAGAACTATTTTTTGTGTTTTTTTTGTTACTATTTATTCATTCATTGAATTTAATTATTCCAATAAAATAGTACAGTAAAAAGAAATCACATTCTCAAAAATTAAGTCATCCAAGGTCGGATTCGAACCGACGACCTTTGGATTAGAATTCCAATGCCCTATCGATTGCGCTACAGGGATACAACGAACAATTTTTATTTCTATGCTGATGGACTATTACCTTTGTTTGTTACTATTCATTCATTTTTTAATTTAATTACTGAATTAATATTTGTAAAGACTGTATTAATATCAAGTGTAATCCACTACAAGTATAAAATTGTATTTGTACTTGAATGGATGAATAGGAAGTATTTTATTAACGATTGAAAACTTGAACAAGATATATATATATATATATATATATATATATATATATATATATATATATATATATATATATATATATATATATAGGGAGAGAGAGAGTGAACTAATAGTAGGAATTGAATAAGAGCCATAACGCCATAGAAGAGAAATTTGTGTTAGTAACTTAGATATACTAACTCAACTCTTACCCCAACCCAACTCTTTACACGGATTGGGTTATATACCTAACTCTTTTTTTACACTATCTTTTTAAACACGATTCTGAAATAACACGGTACACGAATTTAAGGAGTTTTTTTTTTTATTTACGCGATTATTTTGTTCTAGCATGAATCCCCCGAAAATTTGAGGATTCGGGCGTTTTGGATGAAGACGATTTGATCGAATTTATGACAATTTTAATGATAATAAAGAAGTCTATAATGACGAAGTCGAAGGTGAAGTTCAGCTATTAATAGCTAGTTTAATTTGGGAGGGCTAGAAATTTGCTACTAGTAGGGCTACTACAACATTTTCCTGCTCATGATCCTGACATAGAACGTGCATTTAAATTTTAAAAAAACTTTTGTGTAGCAGGATATCAAGAATTATGCAAGATATTTGAGAAACTAAAACACACACGCACCAACTGAGGCCGTTATAATAACGAACGAAATTCTTCATTTGAATTAAAACCGAAGGTTGTCCTACACCAGGGATGTCGAAACTTTATGGATCAACGTGCCATTTTTTCTAAACAAGTGTTTCATGAGCTATAGAGACGTGCCGTCAAATAATTGTGACTTGTGATTGTAGAGAAATTAATAAAACCAAATGCTAACGAAACAAAACTCTATTTATTACGAAAAAATGCCTTTTGCACTGTATAGTTGTAAATGTTTTAGTTATACGTGTAATTCTAATTAAATTACACATTAGTGTGACTACTGTTGTTGTAGATTGTTTGTGGATGATAAATAACTTCTATTAGGAGTGTAAGATGTTACTTTTAGTAGAATACACATGCTGAATTGGAGTCATCCGCCAAACGCTTTCTTTGCAATTAATTATTTTAGCTGTGGTTCTCTTTTTTGACAAGAGGATTTGTGATTTGTTTCAAAATGCCGTTTTACAGACGATGTTCTGCATACCACTGTTTCAGAGCATAAAACACACACCGCTTTGTCACTTTTACTAATGATACCATGTTTATAGATTCACCAAATTTGAAAAATTCTCTGCTACACTTCCAATCTTGCACTTTTTGTTCCTTTGCTGAACTAGCCATGTTAAATAACAGTTAAAAATCGCAATTATAACATAAATACACTGGTGTGCAGAAATTAAGGACGAGACGGTTTTTTCAGTATAACTTTGTACAAAAGCTTTCCAAATGAACACATTTAATACCGTAAGATCCCCAATACGTAAGGACATGTGTAATGTAAGCAACACTTACTAAAAGAGAAATCAGAGGGATAAAAAGAAGCTTGATTGAAAAAGTAGCATGGAGCGCAATGCGACTGAAGGCCGAAACATCCCTGTGATGGGTGTCCAGCAAGAAACATCCGGTCTTTAGTAGGGGATATGATCTTCCCTGACTGCTAGGCAGGTTTCACAGCGTCTGCCCATGCTGAGAATGAGGGTGTCAATGAGTTGTTGAGGCATTGCTGCCCATTCGTCTTGCAGCGCCAATCGAAGCTCCCGAATCGTTACTGGTGGTAAGGTACGAGCTGCCAAGCGTCTGCCTAGAAAATCCCACACATGCTCGATGGGATTGAGATCCGGAGATCGTGCCGGCCAATCCATACGTTCAATATCCTCACTCTCTAAGAGCTGTTCGGCAGCTACTGTGCGATGACATGATGCATTGTCGTCCATGAAAAGGAACTGCAGACCCATAGCGCCTCTAAAAAGACGCACATATGGAAGAAGAATCTCGTTACAATAACGGGTCCCGTTGACTGAACCTGCGTCGAAGATGTGAAGGTCTGTACGACTACCAAGCATGATGCCTCCCCAAACGAGAACACCGCGACCTCCATACCTGTCCCTTTCAATGATATTCGAGGGATGATTGCGGCTTCCCCACTCTCTCCAGATGAGTATGCGATGAGAATCGCTACTCAAACTGAATCTGCTCTCATCTGTAAAGAGTACTCGTCCCCATTCATTGTCTCTCCAATTCCGGTGTTTCCGGCACCACAGAGAACGCCTTCTCCGATAGGCAGGCGTTAAAGGTACACACCGTACAGGGCGTCGTGCAAACAGACCACCACCGTGCAGTCTTCTGGCCACGGTAAAACGCGATATCGGTCGTCCAGTCACCTGTGTCGTGTGTCTAGCAATTTCTCCCACTGTCTGTTTCTACTGGCCTGTAAGACAATGTACCGGTCATCTGCGGGTGTGGTTCCTCGTGGACGACCACTACTGAACCCCCGGATAGCTGTTCCTGTAGTTTGAAATTGTCTCCAAAGTCCAAAATGCATTTTTAAATTAGTTCCATTAGTCCCAAATTTATTGTATGTCGCATGCATTTTTTTACACGATTTTTTTTCTTTTGACGGTTTTCTGAGGAACGTATCAACTCTGTGTAAAAATATAGCTGAGTATATGCATATCCCGAGGTTGCCATGACAACACACTAAAAACGATCACTTTGTGGCGTAGTGTTGCCACTCATTTTTTGTTTCAAAATGAAACACAAAAATACAATTTTTAATATCAATTGTAACATTGAGTTGTTTCAACCCTCTGAGAAGACAGATTTGGTCACGACGGCTACTAGACGGAGGTGAGAAACTCCATTCCCGGATCCGCACGTATATACATATAAAATAGCTCTTTTAAGCTTTCACAATATTTTTCAGTAACAACTTAAAATCTTTTTCTTTCAAAAATCTGTCGGTCCCTATCCTATGCCAAAAACATAATTTTTCACCCCCTACTAAAAAAGTTGCTTTATAATGTTCAATTATTGTTGACTATTTATTTAGTTTTTGTGAAATAATACGGTACAAAATTTAAAATCAGAGAATATTGTAAGAACTGAGTTAATCATTGCTTCCTGATTCCGCACCCCTGGGTCATGGCCTAAATTGGCCCTGTGCAATATTTAAACCTACACATCACGCCAAATTGTCCAAAAAACATCTTACATACCACTTACTACGGAAATATTCAGTGTCGTAGCTAGTCCTGAGTGGGCCCTGTATCAAAATTCCTTGGGGGCCCCAAGAAAGGTCCCCTAAGAAATTTGGATGCGGGATCTTAACATTTTACACTTTCACGTTGGGGCCCCTGTAGCTTAGGGTCCCCGTATCCTTGATACGGTGGTAGCTACGCCCTATGAAATGTTCCTCATTTATTTTGACAAACGTAGTCCCATTGAAAAAGTAGTGGAGTGAAGAGCGAAAATTCCAATGGGACTACCGTCGAAACGAACAGTATTTCAAGAAATCAGCAAACTTATGTCCGAAGACATGAATATCTCATTTTCCATTCACGTCTTTACAGTCATAAATAGCAGTTAACTAATTTTTTCCCACATCAGTTGGTGCTCGAACAAGTAGGGACTCTTCAAAAAGAAACAAGTAACCAGGCAAAAATTTGACAATGACTATTTTGTCGATAATCACATGCATGTGCATGAGGGCTCGTTGATCAGACTGGGTGAGATTTCCCGTGTCATGTGCATGCGTGCCACCTCCTTTGAACCATCGAACCACAGGGTATTGCTATAATTCTCCATGATAGAACGTTCGAAACCGGTTTCACATCAGGCAACTGTGTGCCAGCCAACTCGTTTTCTGTCACTAATCCTCCTAAAGCCAGAGAAGGCATTAAGTCGATCGCGATCGACCGGTGGACCAACACGGGTTTTTGGAGTTACCGCTTGCAGATAAGCAGTTAGTAATTTATGCGAAAATATTCAAGAATGGCTGATAGTATGCAGACTAAATTTTCTGACTTTAATTACGAGAAGTAAAAGTTTCTCTCATATGTTTTGAATAGTCAGGTAAAAAATACATCATTTGATATTGTTATATTTGTGGCTATTATTATGTTTGTAGCTTGCGTTTTCCTTTTAACATGGTTTTAAAAACGTCAGAGGCGTAGCTACCGCCGTATCAATGATACGGAGCCCCCAAAACGTGTTAAAAAAATTCCAAAATATTAAAAAGCTCTTAGGAAGGGCCCCCGAGGAACTTTGATGCAGGGCCTACTCAGAACTAGCTATGCCAGTGAAAAGCGGAATTTTTTTTCATTGTAGTTATGTAGATGAGAGTATATATATTCCTTATTTATTATTAAAATATAATAAATATTGAAGAACTTCTTTTTACCTCACCACACCTAAGCCCCTGGGTGGACTGCAACGCCTTAAAAAATTAGAAGTAGCCCGTACCCTGGAAAAGTCTGCCCACCTCTGTCCTAGAGGGAAGAGGATTCCTTTCACACACGGACACAAAGTTGACTGAAAAGGAAGAGCCGGATTCACAGCAAAAGAGGCAATAAAAGCTTTCTCCATTTTTAATACACAAGTAGCCGCGTGTGAAGAGCGTAGCTTTCCCAATATCCTTTAAGTTGAGCCAACTAGTGTGGAGGAGAACCGGATTTTCGAGAGATTGAGACTTGCATAGCATGGAGTACCAGTTAACCACACATGAAGGGACTCAGTAGATTTGTGTTCAAAACTAGCTCCTGACGGTTTGCTCTTTCTATTAATTGCGGCACATGTTGACACTATGAAAGGCCCTTAAAACTTTTTTCCTCTAGGACATGCCCGTGCCCTATTCTCAACTAGTAGAACCAGGCCAGGAGTTGGGTTC